TTACGCATTTTCATCCCTTCCCAGTTAGTTAGTTAGGAATACGTCCCCCCCCCCCCCTCCACTCCGGTATAAAATAACGATAATTTATTTGGTATTGTACTTTTACAAAAATTGTTTTAAACCGAAGATTCGATCGGGAGAAAGATGTTAGATTGTCAAACTGGTTATACATGGAGATTATGTTATTGTTCGGCAAACTTTCTCAATTCCAGTTGCAATGAAATAATGGAACAATCTTTTGTTCACATATTGGCGAATAATTTTGATATTGTAAACGCTTTCGTAGTACTAGTGAAAAAACCCACACCAAGTAGTGAAATATAACATTTTCTTTTATCTAGAAACCAATATTAGTTTATACTATACGCCTTCAAAAGATACGGACTTCCGTAAACGGAAACAAATTGTCGAGTCTGGTATACCACGGAATTAGATTAGTTCGTGAGTATACCAGTATATTATATGTCTGGTATACCAGTATATCATATGTCTGGTATACCAGTATATTATATGTCTGGTATACCTGTATTATATATGTCTGCACATGGTATACCAGTATATTATATGTCTGGTATATCAGTATATTAGATGTCTGTTATACCAGTATATTATATGTCTGGTATACCAGCATATCATATGTCTGGTATACCAGTATATTATATGTCTTGTATACCAGTATATCATATGTCTGGTATACCAGTATATTATATGTTTTGTATACCAGTATATTATATGTCTGGTATACCCGTATATTATATGTCTGGTATACCAGTATATCATATGTCTGGTATACCAGTATATTAGATGTCTGGTATACCAGTATATTAGATGTCTGGTATACCAGTATACTAGATGTCTGGTATACCAGTATATTATATGTCTGGAATACCAGTATATTATATGTCTGGTATACCAGCATATCATATGTCTGGTATACCAGTATATTATATGTCTGGGATATCAGTATATTAGATGTCTGGTATACCAGTATACTATATGTCTGGTATACCAGTATATTATACGTCTGGTATATCAGTATATTAGATGTCTGGTATACCAGTATACTATATGTCTGGTATACCAGTACATTATATGTCTGGTATATCAGTATATTAGATGTCTGTTATACCAGTATATTATATGTCTGGTATACCAGGATATTATATGTCTGGTATACCAGTATATTATATTTCTGCACATGGTATACCAGTATATTATATGTCTGCTATACCAGTATATTATATGTCTGCACATGGTATGCCAGTATATTATATGTCTGGTATACCAGTATCTCATATGTCTGGTATACCAGTATATTATATGTTTTGTATACCAGTATATTATATGTCTGGTATACCTGTATTATATATGTCTGCACATGGTGTACCAGTATATTATATGTCTGGTATACCAGTTTATTATATGTCTGGTATACCAGTATATTATATTTCTGCACATGGTATACCAGTATATTATATGTCTGGTATAACAGTATATTATATGTCTGGTATACCCGTATATTATATGTCTGGTATACCAGTATATTTTATGTCTGGTATATCAGTATATTATATGTCTGGTATATCAGTATATTTTATGTCTGGTATATCAGTATATTATATGTCTGGTATATCAGTATATTATATGTCTGGTATATCAGTATATTAGATGACTGGTATACCAGTATATTAGATGTCTGGTATATCAGTATATTAGATGTCTGGAATACCAGTATATTAGATGTCTGGTATACCAGTATACTAGATGTCTGGTATACCAGTATATTATATGTCTGGACATGGTATGCCAGTAAATTATATGTCTGGTATACCAGTATATTATATTTCTGCACATGGTATACCAGTATATTATATGTCTGGGATATCAGTATATTAGATGTCTGGTATACCAGTATACTATATGTCTGGTATACCAGTATATGTTATGTCTGGTATATCAGTATATTAGATGTCTGGAATACCAGTATATTAGATGTCTGGTATACCAGTATATAGATGTCTGGTATACCAGTATATTATATGTCTGGGATACCAGTATATTAGATGACACACATTTTTTCTACATGCTCATTGGTTGGATTATAATCACGTGGAGGTCGGTGATTTGTGATATTGACACGGTGTTACCCTTTTTAGACGGTCGGTTTTTTGACACAGCTAGCAGGGTAATATTCACTTTATGACTTCACCAGTATACCAGTATATTATATGTCTGGTATACCAGGATATTATATGTCTGCACATGGTATACCAGTATATCATATGTCTGGTATACCAGTATATTAGATGTCTGGGATACCAGTATATTATATGTCTGGAATACCAGTATATTATATGTCTGCACATGGTATAACAGTATATTATATGTCTGGTATACCCGTATATTATATGTCTGGTATACCAGTATATTATATTTCTGGTATACCAGTATATTATATGTCTGGTATACCAGTATATTAGATGACACACATTTTTTCTACATCCTCATTGGTTGGATTATAATCACGTGGAGGTCGGTGATTTGTGATATTGACACGGTGTTACCATTTTTAGACGGTCGGTTTTTTGACACAGCTAGCAGGGTAATATTCACTTTATGACTTCACCATTTTAAATTGTATCGTCACATTGCTCTCTGCCAGATCTAGTGCATTCTCCCTGAGAATTTTCATACGTTCCTTACTTTTTAATGATTTGGAGATAATTTAGCATCTAATATGAAAACAAAATACTTTTATTCGGTGAATATGTGGTTATTTGAACCTAAAAAGATATATTAACCCGGACTTCGTCTCGGTTAATATCACCTCGCAGGTTAATACAACCACATATTCACCTCAACACAAGTCCATCATAACCGTAACCTCATTGTTCTCCTTTAAATATAGACTTTATAAACACTGGACAAAGTATACCTCCAGCAATTAGACCGAGCTTTACTATATCAATTGTGTTTGTACCTTTTGGCGATATCATAATAAGTCTACATACAAATGTAATAAGTAAAGGTTATTGCATGGTCCTAAAGATTATAAACTTTTCCAGGAAATGCTTATCCTCTCACATGATAAGGAAATCAATAACGCTGCCAACTCAGTAATTGTTTTTGTTTGTTTTTCAATCATGAAATTACCATTCTTAAATTCTTCTTTTTTAAATTTTAAATGTGTCAACTAAGTTATCCTTTCCACTGTATTGACTTCATCGTTACTTACTTATTGATTATCTCACCTTTTTACAGCATTTGTGACCACTGCCCACAGTCCACTGGGCACACCCCCTTTCATGGTCATGTAATCATGAAAGGGGATTATGTGTGCAGTGGACTGTGGTAGCAAGTGATTTATTGCCCACAGTTTTCCATTGTGAGAGGTGGGAAGTATGCAGTAAGTTGTGCTGTCTGCACTGCAGTCACCCGTGCGAAGCTCTACAATAGTACCACAAGGTAGAGACAAAACAGAGTTACTTCCCTTGCTATATGTGAGGGAAACAGAAAGTACACCCCTTCAACCGCGGTAAAAAAAATCATTCCTTTGTTTCAAATCAAGTTTTGTATTTATGGTACAACTTTTTGTGAATAGGATTAACAAGTTTTATTTGATGATGACTGACTACATTTGTAATTTCAACAACACAAATGTTGGTACCTGAACGTGTTGTTTGTCAATGTAAAGAGTAATAACTTTACCAGCTTGTGGAAATAAATGAGGTAACTTTTATGACATTTTTACTAACTATGTTTACAGTCTACGCTAAATACCATATATTCATTAACATTATAAATTATTCTGATTGTGTATCCTATGAGATTTTCTGCTAAAAAAGTTAACTTAAAAAGTATGTTTGCAATACATTCTTTATATTAAAATAAAAGTATATAGGATACAAATTCAACACCTAGGAAAGAATAAAAGATAAATAATGGCAAATACGACAGATGTGCATAAGGATTCTGTTGAGTGACCAATGAGATCATTTTACCGTTTCTATATATAATATAACAACCTACTTTAACAGATATTAGTATTTATTTCAATTCCTCCGCTAAGGGTTTACTAGTCTTACGCTCGACCGAATGAACTGAAGAGAGATTCTCCCTAGCCGAAGATCTTTCTCCAGGAAACAATTCGTCGTCCCGAGTTTTCCAGGGGTCATTGCGATTTTTGTGAAATTATCGCTAGGTATTCTTGTCAATATTTTCCGGGTCCAAAAATAACAGAGGCAATTATTTTTCTTTTCAATGCCTCTGGTAAGAGTCGAGCTCAGAACCTCTCGTTTAAACTAATCGGACGCATTCTCCCTAGCTTTACAAGGTCGACACTAGGAAAGCCGGACGATACCAACTAAAACAAATTACGTGTATCAATGTCACACTTGCGACAAAGAATCTCGAACAGATTTTAACGATACCACGATTATCTCGTAATTACTACATGAACAATTTTTAGTGGCGCTAACCGGCTTTTGTAGTTCTCTTGGTGGATTTTTTTCTCACTTTGTATTTTCACATGAATGCAACTGCAGTTATATCTTCAAAGCTTAAAAAATATAAACATACTTATTCAGAGAGTCACTTATAGAAGGCAATCACGATCAAGAACACATGCCAACAACCTCAGATCCCGTATTCATAAAACCGTTCTCATGCTTAAGCATGGCTTCTGTGCTCAAACCAGTAATCTTGTCATGTCAAACGATCAAAAAGTCACATGTAAACATTGAAATCAGTATTCGGCTTAAAGTCTTCTTCCATTTTTTCCAAATCATTGATAAAATAGGGCTTTTATTAATTTACATCACAAAATCTATGCTTGAGCATGAGAACGGTTTCATGAATACGGGCCCAGGTTTGCTGAGGTGGTATTGAGTATTTTATTTTCGCGATGGATTTTTGTTTTTGCGAATGCAGGTTGCACAAGGATGTATTTGTTTCTTTTGGAGAGAAAGACAAACACATACCGGAGAGACCAATCAGTTATTTTCAATATTTTATCTATTCATTGTAAGCACGATCATCGATACAACAAGTTATTCCAACTTTGTACACACAGTTCACTTTTCAATATTTAGGCTTGAGAAGGGAAACGAAGTGTTCAGAAAAACAAGTTTTTATATTTTATTTCATTCAAGTTCTAGGAATAACTATCTTGGGAAGGAAACATTACGTCACAGACATACTTTCCTGGTTTATAAATCATAATAAAATAAAACCAAAACGCTAAAAATGAGTTTTTTAAGAAGTGATATAGAGTGATATATTGTGAGCCGTGTTTGAAGTATCCGTCCTGATATTCAAATAAGCACTATCCGGTCATTCAGATTTATTAATGTATTCATTTTGTACCTCTGATATTAATAATTATAATACATTAATTTGCCCAAAACTCGTCTATCAAAGCACTGTACAAGTTTGCAAGAGTGAAACCGCATAAGAAAGGTGATACATTACAAAATAATGTATTACATACATTCTTAAAGATAATTTTAAATTTTATGAACAATGTATCACTAAATCTAATTTTACATGTTAAGAACCATATATCAGTAAAACTAATTTTTCATCTAAGAGCCATGAATCCTTAAAGCTTATTTTACATGCATGAACCAATTATCCTTAAAACTGATTTTACATTTTCAGAACCATTGTATCATTACAACTAACTTAACCTGTCACATGGTAAATACCATGTATCCTTAAAGCTATTGTCACATGGTAAATACCATGTATCCTTAAAGCTATTGTCACATGGTAAGAACCATGTATCCTTAAAGCTATTGTCACATGGTAAGAACCATGCATCAACCATGTATCCTTAGAGCCAAGTTTACATGTGAAGAACCTTGTATCTTTAAAACTTATTTTTCATGTAAGGAACTATGTATCTTATAAGCTTCTTTAAAGCTAGATTTACAAGCTAAGAACCATCAACGATATATCTAAAACAATGATATCCGGCACTGCGATAATCATTAGGAAACAGAAAGTCGATTGATGATGGCTGTGCACATAATAATGGCTGTTTTTTTTTTTTTTTATATATCCAAGGACAGTGTTGTCGTCTCTATGGCAAATAGATAAATATGGCCAAAATCGATCTTTTCCTGTTTATATCCAGTGAAAGGATAATTGTTTTTATTTATCTCTGATATTCTTAACATGCAATGTTAACTCTTAAGTGTCAATTTATCCTTTCAATCCTCCGATCCAGCCTCCTTCAGCACGTTTTATTAGGTGTCTTTTTGAAAGCACTCAGATTAGCCTTGTCCAGATACCGGAATATGATCGCGTAACTTTGGCGTTCGTCAACCTGCATAATCATGGCCCTTTGTTTGCTATCAACACATAAGGTTTCACCTGTAATAATAATAAAAAAAAATAGTTGATGTCATTAACAAAAAAAAGTGAAATGAATAGAAGTGTGTGTATATAAGAAATAATCAGCGTATGTGCGTGCAATATGGTGGAATATATAACAAGGGTGAGATTACGTTGTGAAAATAATTAAGGAAGGCCGTTTAGTTGCGGCCCGAGTTCAATATTTTTTCTAAAAGTTTATAATCCACAATTGTATTTTCCATCATGATATCTCTTTCGTGTCTACCTTAGTGTCTATACAACGACATGGTGATCAAGGGGATCTAGATTACCGAACTACTTAAATAAGGTTGTTCATTTGCACGTGCTAACTTTTGTCACGTGATGTTTTCATTTCACAACAATCTGCGCGTTTGTATCATTTCTGTCATTGTGGGCAGTTGACCTTATTTCTCTTTTTAACCTGGATCTATTTGCGATTATCTAAAGTTCATTTTCAGATGTAAATGGAATAGACGATACAAAATAAACACTGACGTCATGCTCTATTTCAGATCATTTTTTTTACGTACTCTGATTTTAGGGTCCAGAGTTCTTATTGGATTCACATATATCGTTTAAATATTCTTACATTTATAATACTTGAGATGCATGATCTTTCTTTTAATCAATCAAATCCACCTATTTGCCGACAACGCTCGTCAACACAAGTATGAGCATTTGATAGATTTACAAACACTATTTCAAGCTATCTTCGCGGTACGGCCTTTGGAAATAGTACACCAGGTTGGTCTCAACACCCCGGGAAAACAGTTTTGACCATTGACTGAAAGGGCATGAATTATCTGTATAGTATTCCCCGCCATGTGAAAAATGTAATCAAATCAGCCATACTGTTATATAGTTGGAGTATAATAACATAATGTAATCGTTTCAGGGTCACATACCTTTCCTTAGGACGCGTTTTTTGCCGCGGAGACGAACATCGTCTGTACAACTGTAGAGGCAGAGCTTGAAATCATCCTTTCGACCTTTGGCATTGATCAGCAGAGGCTTGTTATGTTGTAGCCAGGGGTAATCAAACGAAATGACTCCCTCTGTACAAGATTTTGGTATCGTTGCCCTTCTACAAAGAAAGCATACGCACTTTTTTAAAAGACTTCGTAAGTTTGTATGATTTTCTCTCACAAAACATATTTAACATTGAAATTACAGTATGCATGTTTTCGTTCATGATCCAAAATAGCATTAAATCTGCTTTTGAGACCATCCTTTTTAAGCGACATTTGCTCTTGGACAGGGTGAACATCATTTCGCTCAACCTGACAAAACAACTTACTTATAACAAGTCATCTCAACATCATTTAATATCAAATAGGGGTAGTAAATGTATGTATGATACACTGGAATCACATATATAGAGATCAATCTCTAATTCGAAAAGAGATTTCTTTCAATCAAATAGAGATAGAGATTTATCTAAACACAAATCAAAAGATATCTGTAAATGTAATAGTGATATCTTTGAATGTAATAAAGATATCTGTAAATGTAATAGTGATATCTGTAAATTTAATAGTGATATCTGTAAATGCAATAGTGATATCTGTAAATGTAATAGTGATATCTGTAAAGGTAATATATGTTGTAGCCAGGGGTATAAAGATATCTGTAAATGTAATAGTGATATCTTTGAATGTAATAGTGATATCTGTAAATGTAATAGTGATATCTGTAAATGTAATAGTTATCTGTAAATGTAATGGTGATATCTGTAAATGTAATAATGATATCTGTAAATGTAATAATGATATCTGTAAATGTAATAGTGATATCTTTGAATGTAATAGTGATATCTGTAAATGTAATAGTGATATCTGTAAATGCAATAGTGATATCTGTAAATGTAATAGTCATATCTGTAAAGGTAATAGTGATATCTTTGAATGTAATAAAGATATCTGTAAATGTAATAGTGATATCTGTAAATGTAATAGTGATATCTGTAAAGGTAATAGTGATATCTTTAAATGTAATAGTGATATCTGTAAATGTAATAGTGATATCTGTAAATGCAATAGTGATATCTTTGAATGTAATAAAGATATCTCATATAACTAGGATTATTTGAGATGAACGCTATTGCTTATAAGATATATCCTAAAACATGAGACGACGCACATTTTATTTCTTCATTTTCAATGGTTGGATTATAATCACGCAGGGTCGGTGATTTGTGATATCGCCTTGCTTATATTAGAAACAGCAAGTCAACGTACACTTTATGACGTCATTTCAATGACAACGTCACAATGCTACCTGGTAAATGCAGTTACCCCCCCC